AGAGAAGAGAAGAGAAGAGAAGAGAAGAGAAGAGAAGAGAAGAGAAGAAAACTTAAGGATGGAGTAGTCCAGTAGCAGATAAATTATCAGGGAAAATCAAGGTCATTAATTCAATCTCTCATACTAGAGAGTAAGAACAACTTGGACATCAGGTCCCAGTTTACAGGTGTGTATCAGTTATTTGTCACTACTTTGACTAAATATCTCTTAAAAAACAACCTAATAGAGTCCTTAGTTTATGGGACTTCTGACATGGCAGAATAAAGGATATACAGTGTGTCATTAAGGGGAAGCCACAGAAGATGGAGCACAAGGTAGCTCTTCACATTGTCTGTGTGATCAGGAATCAGAGAGATAACAAGAAGTGGTCCAGCTATAAAGCTGCAAGGCCCACTCCCAGCAACATATCTCCTCCAGCAATGCTCTAATCCCTAAAGGTTCCGTAGCCTTCTAAAACAACATGACTGCAAGGACTGAGTGGATACAGGTGCTATGGGGTTCATTGCCTCCTCAAACCACAGCAGGGGAAACCCTGCTCTAGGGGTTACTGTAAGGTCAGCAGGAAAAGCCCTTCACACCCTGTCACAGGTAAACAGCAGCCTTCACAACAGGAGAGTGAAAGTCCTTTCACACATGACAGTTTGGGGCACTTGGGAGCCAACTAGTGATGGCTCAGCTTCAGAGAAGGGATTTGCTTTGGTTCATACATTACCCAGAACTCATGCTGCTGCCAGTTACTGTTAGGGAACTTTTTTTTTTCAGAGGGTGACTGACAGACAACCTGCTATACCAGCAGAAGCCTTGAATTAGTGTGCACCTCACTAATGCATGCAAAGAAGGAAATGGGTGGGTAGAATGGCAGACAGACAGGCAGGCAGGCAGGCAGGAAGGAAAACATAGTAAAAATAACCTCGAATACAAATGAATTGAAGTCACCAATCAACTGATATAAACTAGCTGAAAGGATAAAAATAAGACTCAACTATATACTGGTTGCAAGAAACTCATCACCTTCATGGACCTATATAGAGGCTAGGAAGGAAGGCTGAGGAAAGATACATCACACAAATGGAAACAAAAATGGAAGCAAAGTAACAATACTCATACCATGGAAAGCAGACCTTGCATTTTAACAAATGAGAGAGACAGTAAGGTCACTGAATAATGATACAATGATAAATTTAACAAAATTATGGAATGATCTTAAATAGACAAATATATGTGTGTGTGTTTGTGTGTGTGTGTATACATGCAGCTAACTTGGGAACAACACATTATATAGGTCAAATATTAATAGATCGAGAGAGAGAGAGAGAGAGAGAGAGAGAGAGAGAGAGAGAGAGAGAGAGACAGACAGACAGACAGAGACAGAGACTGGATAGATGGCTCAGAATTTCAGAACATTGACTACTCTTACAGAGGACCTGGGTTCGATTCCTAACACCGACATGATGGCTCACAACCATCTTAACTCTGGTTCTAGGTGATCTGATTCCCTCCTCTGGCTTATATAAATGTTTTAAATATATAATCTTTTTAAAATGTAAGCATCAGAAATCCAAACAAGTCAATCAAAACCCAGGAAAGACAACCTATAAAGCTACCTTTTAGAAGACATGACATGCTAATGGCCAACAACCCTTTGAGAGATACCCAGTGTCACCAACCACATGGAAAGTCCAAACCCAAACCACAGTAGGATAGTGTGACAGCCTGTGGGGCATCTCAGTGGACATTAAGAAGTGTTGGTGTGGACGGACAGAAGGAAAAATGAAGTGAAATGAAAATCAACACAAGCATCATGGTAAATGGTTGGAGAATCCTCATGTGATGGTTTGAATATGCTTGTCCCAGGGAAGTGGCATTAGAAGGAGGTGTGGCCTTGCTGGAGTGGGTGTGACTCTTTGCAGGTGGGCCTTGAGACCCTTCTCCTAGCTGTCTGGATTCCACTCTTCTCTCTTTTGCCTTCAGAACAAGGTGTAGGTACAGGGACGACCATGTTGTTGTGAGAGTTGGATCATTATGCAATGCGGACTTTTAAAAGCTCTGGCTCTCTCATCTCTTTCTCTCTCCTTGTGTCTCTGTCTCTGGCTGTCTCTCACCTCTACCTCTGTCTCCTTGTCTCACTAGCTCTCTGTCTCTCTCTCTGTCTTTCTGTCTCTCTCTCTGTCTCTCTCTCTGTCTCTCTCTCTGTCTCTCTGTCTCTCTCTCTCTGTCTCTCTCTCTCTCTCTCTCTCTCTCTCTCTCTCTCCCTCAGTTTTCTGTCCTGCATCCCTACATCCCTGCATGGAATCATGAAGCAAGCTCTCACAGTAGCTGAGAGCACTTGAACATTGCATTTCCCAGTATCTAGAACTAAAAGATACTGGCATACTCTCATGTGTGCACACACACATGCACACACACATGTGTAAATGTGTACACACACACACACACACACATATATATATATATATATATATATCTCACTAGTTGGGCTTTCTTTCAGGTCACTGTACAGCCTAAGACAACAGGGAAAGATCAGAGAGAAATCGTGAGGACCAATAATTCCACACACAGAATTGAGACCAGAAGGAGAACAGAAGGTGAGAAATAGAACCCACAAAACTTGGGGAAGTGGCACCACATTAGAGACTTTATTTCCTGATTGTCTTCTAACCCCAGGAGACTTTGCCAGCCTTCATGCTGTCTGCCTCTGGCTCTGCGAACTCAGTGTGAACCATATAAACTTGTTGATCCTGACCCCTGCTGACATATGAAACAGAACTTCACATCTGAACCCAGGTGCATCCTCTCCTTTACCCTCAGGCAGGAGTGCAGCTGGTGCTTGAGACACAGTGCAGGGTTCAGAGGAACTGTCAAGTTCGAGATACTAAGACCATCTGTGTTCCTTGTCTAGAAGAAGGCAGACTTAGGAAGTAAATTCTAGGGTCAGCTCTAGGGTGCCAACAACAGCAGAGAGAACCCTGACTACTTCCCATGGCAGCATCCCAGCACAGGGATGGCAGTTTCATAAACACCGTGGTTCAGGGAGAAGAGAAAGGCCACAGATCCCAGTGAGGGCACAACACAGTCTTCTAGGACAGAGCCCCTCAACTTCCCTTAATTGCACATGAAATCTTCAGGGAAATTTTCCATCTTAATGTTTTAGAGAGTTTGAAGACAGGTCCTTATTTTAGTGCCCTGTCTTCTTCATGTCTTCAGGCCCGTAGGAAATGTGATGTCTGGGTTGACTGGTCACATGAGGAGGGAAGGAACACGGACCATGTGTTAATTCCATTCATGGGTCTCAAAGGAACATCAGCTAAGACACTTTTACATGGAAATATATGACATTTGTATGATTAAGAGAGGTGGTCAACGAAAAACTGACAAGTTTTTAAAAGCCCATTGTAGACAAAAATGAAGCTAGCCCCTTTGTTCCCCACCCCCAGGAGCTCAGAGCATGAGAGGTGAACTTACGTCGGGGGTCCCTCACCAAAGCCCCTGGATGGCTCAGCATCAACACACCCAGGATCACAGCGGCCACACTGGTGCCTCTGGGGAGCCACAGACACAGCATGCTGGAGGAGAGGAGAGGTTGGTGGCCAGAGAGGCAGGACAACCTGGCTGACTGAGGAGGGTGAGCGACTCCACCCACTGGTGCTGGGTTGGGCACCTTCAGTGCTGAAGAACCAATCAACAGCCGAGGCGGGCAGCAGCATCAGTTTCTGGTCAGAGGTGCAGAGTGAAGGTCTTTCTGAAATTTCCAGTTTCCTTTGTTAAGCAGACAGACTGCTTCAGGTCAGGGCTGCTGAGCTTTGATGAGGTTGAGTCTGCAGCAGTCGCATGGACGCTGTGCTGAGCATCCAGTTCTGACTGAGGGGAGCCTTGACACCGTCAGTCTGCCCGAGGATATTAAACCTGTGAGAGTGCAGTCCCTGTTGGGGTTCAGCTATGACTCCCCCGTTTGCTGAGGGAAATCCTCTAACATTTGCTCCTCTTCTGCTTTATCTGAGGAGAGGTCATAAGAAGTCTTTGCTACTGCACGCATGCAAGGTTAGAAGGAAGACAATCAGTGAACACTAAGTATGAGTTACAGGTTTAAAACACAATCATACTATTTGTGAATATGAACCTTGTATTGCCCAATGATTACACATTACATTAAATAAAGGCGTTGACTTAGATTAAGGATGTGCTTTGAGTGACAGTTCAGAATAGGAACTCCAAGATTAATCCACTATTCTGATGGCTGCTCTTTATCTGTGTTGTTAGTTCTTGAAGTAGGATTTGCCACCCTGCAATGAATATCACTGGTATTTATTGAGTGAGATTTGAAGCAACTAGCTTTGTACTTAGAGCTATTCCTGGGACTTTCTCTCAAAACTTTTGTTAAAAAGAAAACTTCATACAATATACTTTGGTTGTGTTTTCCCTCAGTTCCTTTCTACCTCCTCCTCACCCACATCAACTTTATGTTCTGTCTCTCTCTCTCTCTCTCTCTCTCTCTCTCTCTCTCTCTCTCTCTCTCGTGTGTGTGTGTGTCAAATAAACCAGAACAGAGAACAAGAAACACACATAAACAGCAACCCCCATTAAATGAAAATAAGAACAAAATAAACAGAAAAACGGATGTTGAACAATTTTAAACTTTCTCTGAAGCATTTCACCTTTGAGAACTCTCTGTTTAGATCTGTAATCAGTCCTTGTATTTGGTTTGTTTATTTTCTTGATGTTTTGAGTATTTTTTAGCTCTTCATGTATATTAGATACCCTCAATCATACATATAATTGGTAAAAATGTTTTCCCATTCCATTGGCTGCCACTTTCCCCATATGATGGTATTCTTTGCAGTATAGAATATCTTCATTTTCATGAGGTCACATTTATTGATTGTTGGTCTTATTGCCTGGGCTCTCAGTGTCTTGTTCAGAATCTCTTTCCTATGCTAATGAGTTCAACCCTGTATCCCACTGTCTGTTCTGTCAGGCTCAGGTTATCTTGTCATGTGCTGAGGTCCTTGATGAGTTTGGGGTTGAGTTTTCTCCAGGGTGATAAGTATGGATCTAGCTGCCTTCTTCTGCATGCAGAATATCCCTTTTGACCGGCACCATCTGCTGAAGCAGCTGTTGTTTCTCCACTGTGTCTTTTCTACTTTTTTTGTCAAAATGTTTTCTTATGTCTTTGTCTATTGGTGGGTAGACTTATGTGGGTTCTTGTTGGGTTAAAATGTGTCCCGTGTGTGCCCAGCCATGGGACTAGGGGCAGTTGGGGAGACAGATGTGCAGGATGTTTGACTGCACTCTCCCCATGCAGGCACAGGGTGGATATTGGGCTATGGGAAGCTGCAGGACCCCACTCCTGGTGTGGGGATGCAGTCTGAGGTCCCTGGGGACTGTTGGAGTTGGCTGGGGTTCCTTGGGCCTAAAGGTTTCTAGGGACCAGCTGGTTCTCAGGCTCTTGGGCTTCTGGGCAGTGCTGGGACCCACAAAAGAGGCACAAACAAAGTGGGGCACACAGGCTGGACTAGCCTGTGACTGAAGGGGAGAGAAAGGGAGAGAAGCTCTGGCTGCACCCTGCAGGGAAGGTCCTTTGTTTGGCCTTGGTGGCTCCAAGCCTGGGAACACATAGAGGTCTTCTCTGGAAGATTAGACAGCAGCTCTGTAGGCGAAGTTCTGCTCCACTGTTCCCCACAGTGGATCCTGATGAAAAGAAGCAGTCCATGGTTTTAAGATGTTTATTGTCATGGTGGAAAGAAGATGAGAAACTGTACCCAGTATCTCAGGGTGGGCCTGAGATTAAATACCTTTTGCAGGGAGGAGTGTCTGGGAAGGAAAACTTAATTGGCTATGCCCTTTTGGCCTTTAGGTACCTCATTAATATGGAGATCTGTCTTGAGGCTCCATGGTCTGTAGTCACACCCTCTACCTGTGGAGGGGATAGGGGGTGTTGTCCTACATGAATAAAGGACCCAAATCTAAGGAGGGTTGAGGGCTCGGGTCAGCAGCCTGGAGTCTGGGGGCATCACAAAATGCCTGCCTTCCATTTGGATCACCTGGGGTCTCCAGCGCTTTCTAGCCTATGCTCGACCAGAAACCAGGCTGCCTTTCCCAGTCCAGCAGGTCCTCAGTTCCATTCCACTGATCACTGTGTCTGTTTTCATGGAGAACCGAGCTCTTTTGATGGTTGTAGCTCTGAAGGTGATTCCCCCAGCAGTTCTCTTACTATTCAGGATTGTTATCTATCCTGGGTGTTTTTGTGTTTCCTTATGGAGCAGAATGTTGTCCTTTCAATTTCTGTGAAGAATAGTGTTGAAATAATGAAGGGGCTTGCACTGGATCTGTAGATTGCTTTTGCTAGGATGACCGTTTTTGTGATATTAGTCATTGATCCAGGAGCATGGGAAGTTTTCTATCTTCTGATATCTCCTTCGATGTCTTTCTTCAATGTCTAAGAGTTTTCCTTACACAAGTCTTTCATCTGCTTGCTTGCATCATAATTCTTGAGTCTATTTGAAAGGTATTGTTCCACTGTTTTATTTTCTCAGTCTGTCATTAGTATCTAGGAAGGGTACAGATTTTTGTGTTAAGTTTTTTTTTTTTGTAATTTATTTATTTATTTTTTCAAATCGTAATTTTTACTCATTCACACAGGGGTTATAAACACAAAAAGGCAGGACGTGGGGAAGGGGATGACACTGGAGAGTGGGTGTTTGGGGGAATACAGATATTTTTCAGAACAGGGTATCGGTTGGGTGAAGGTTCAGGGGACAAGTCACTATGACTCTGCCTATAACTCGCTTGTCCTTATCTAAGTTGGTATTATCTGCCAAGGCTACCTATTTACAAGGTCTATAACTACTCAGGCTGGTAAATTTCCACAAAAGCTGCCTGTTTACATTAGCTTATAGCCATCTGTTTCAATGCTTTTCCACAGAGACCCAAAACTTGGTGTTAGTATACATGCATGACAGGCCTATTGCTGATTTTAGAGCTATGGCTGATTTTAGGCCTTCAGTGTATAAGCAGGGCTGCCCCTGACATCTCCTCCCTTCTCTAAGTATAGAAGGGCTGTGGTGATTCTAATCTTGTGAAGACGGGGATAGAGGCCTGACCTCTAGTGATTGAAGGGGACCTTGTAATGGCTCAGGTCCCCCTGTCGTTGTCCAGTGAGGCATGATGGCCATATCCATCCCGATGTCTTTTTCCTGAAGAGGGGATACTTTTGACATCAACCCCTATGCAGTCAGGGAACCCAGAGAGATATTTTTAACTTTTATTTATATTCCCTTGTAGTGCTTAGTCTCGTAGCCTAAGCAAGAATTCAGATCACCAGTCAGAAGGGGTTCTGGGTGGCCCCTCTCTGATTGGTCTAGGGACAGGAGTCTCCTCTTTTAGGTTGAGTGGAGATGGGTTTTGGGAACACCCTGGATAGAGTAACAACCTCATCTTGAGTCTCGAGGTCCTCCATAGCTAACTTATGATAATGTATCTGAATAGGTTTTGCTGCCAAATTATTTATCTGTTGTTTCACAGAGTTAGTCAGCTTATTTGAGGCCCAGGGACCAAAAGAAATAAGCAAAAATAATCCAATTAATGGTCCCAAGATGGAAGGAAGTAGGGTTGACAAACATGGAGAGGCTGAAAACCAATTCTTGTACCAGCATTCATCTTTCTCTTTCTCTCTCTGACTTTTCTCAGGGCCTTCTCTGACCTTTTTGATGTTCTCTTTAACCATCCCTGTCTTGTCTATGTAAAGGCAACATTCTTCCTTAAGGGCTGTACACAGTCAAGAGCTGTACACAGTCAAGAGCTGTACACAGCCTTTTCTATTGTAATAGAGTAAATCAAGTCCAATAAGGATCTTTGCGATTTTTGGAGGTCTCTTCAGACAGTGAAACGAGGGATTTCTTCAGATTAGTGATGTCAATCTCTAGCTGTTTGATGTTCTTGTCAATGGCCCGTTGAATGTCTGAGTAGTATAAGTTCGGAGGCCAGCACCTGGATTAGAACTTCTAACAGCAGATATCACGGGTGATTCATTTTTAACTGGAAAGGAAAAAGAAGGGACTTCTCAGGGAGATTTCTCTTCCCTGGATGTCAATTGTTATTCATCTTATTTATGGTTGGGCCTGGCTTTGTGGGGGTATCTATTTATTTCATTAATCTTTTTTGTAGCCAGTTAGCTGTGCCTTCTGTGGTATCAAATAGGCATATCAATCCTTGGCCCCATAAGGGAACTGAGTCTGGGCCATTCCCTTTAAGGGTAAGAGGGTCCTTCCCCATAGCTGTGGCATAGTTTTTATTGGTCTCAGTGATACCAGAGGCAGTCAGCAGCAGATTTGCCATGAGCTTTCAGTTTTAGAGAGTTAAAAGTGAACAAGGCATGATGGAGAATATTTCAGGGGGACTTCTTCTGGGGTGGGTACCGTTCCCCCTCTTTTGTTTTTAAAGCCAGTTTTTCAGGGTACTTGTAAAATCTGGACAGAAGTGCCAACAGCCGCTCCTTCCACACTCAGAGAGTCATGAAGACACTATTTCAAGAGATATAAACCCATATTAATAAATCTCTTTTATCAAAGGACTGTTATAGCACAGCC